CAAGGGCGCCCATGTAGTCTGTTGGCCGCCAACTTCCGCGGAAGCCACGGAGAGCTCATCTTTGTAGAGGGGACCTCGCGAAGAGGACTGACGAGGTTTTATCTGAATTGAAAGTAAAGTCGGTAGAGCTGCTTAGTCTGTTAGCTTCCTACATAGTCTTTGAGTTCATAAAAAATGGAAACTAGAAAGTGAGAGCTTTAGTTTCTAAAAAGTGAGAACTTAGCTTTCTAGAAGAAGAGGACTTAGCCTTTTAGAAGATGAAAACTTAGCTTTTTGGAAGAAGAGGACTTAGCCTTTCAGAAGATGAGAACTTAGCTTTTTGTAGCGTATTCCCACAGAACCACATAGGGTTTAGTGAATGTCGCACCGACTACAGGAGAGAGTGGCGCGTTCACTTGTGCAGTCGCTTGGGGCATCGTCAGCGCTGGGACCCCAGCCGCAGTAAGCGGTATGGTGAACTGACCTATACGGATAGATGGGAACTGAGGTTGCCCCTCGGAGACGTTCACTTCGTTGTTTTGTCTGGCGTTGCTGGAGGAAGCCACGGATTTGATTCTAAGCTTGAGATTTTTGAATGGAGACAAGGGCTTTTAGTAGCAATTTCCCACAGACGGTGCCAAATGATGTAACGCAATCCGGCTGCTCCCTATAGGAGATGATCTGGCTGCCTGCAATGACGGGCTCGATGAACCTGCAAGAGATGAATCAGAGAACCCGGGGTGGCTACCCAGCGAGGTCACTCCGATGCTTAAGTTAGCACTTAGTTGTGAGCTCGAAGATGATATTAGATTGTGAGAGAGCTAGAGAGCAGAGATTACACATCTTTTTTCACCTCTAGGGGGTGAAGCCTTTATATACTGGAGTCCTCGTGGGTTTGGTGGAGTAGTTCCTGGATCCCCGCTGTTATGGGATCTGTTTCTATGTTAGTTGGGGATAACGCCACCAACCGGTAAGGTTGCCCATTTCCGCCTGAATCGGGGAGTGGATGAGCTAATATAGCCGTTACAAGGTATGATCCTGTAAGACGCGGGGTACGATGGTGAGATCCTTGGAATTACCACACGGTGGTTGGTCTGACTGGGAAGCGAGCTGCCCGTAAGGTTCCAGGCTGTATGGTGGCGAGCTGCCTGTGAGGTGCCAGGCTGCTTGGTGGCAAGCTGCCTGTGAGGTGCCGAGTTGCTTGGTGGCGAGCTGCTTGTGAAGTGCCGGGCTGCTTGGTGGCAAGCTACCTGCTTAGTGGCGAGCTGTCTGTGAAGTGCCGGGCTGCTTGGTGGCGAGCTGCCTATGAGGTGCCGAGCTGCTTGGTGGCGAGCTGCCTATGAGGTGCCGAGCTGCTTGGTGGCGAGCTGCCTATGAATTGTCGGGCTGCACATAGTTGTCATAAGGTGCCATGTGTCATAATGTCATTGGAGGGCGGCCAAATCCGCCCTCATCAATTAGATAAGCAAATCCCTCTTTCTTTATGGTTGTTAGAAATAGTTAAATCTATATTAATTTCTTATCTTTTTAATGGATAATTATGTTAAATTAAAAAATAAAAAAATAAAAAAAAATAGGAAATTAAGAAGAAGGGTTTGGAGAAAGGAAAGTTATAGTGAATGGTTCCCCAAACTGTGGAACCAATGATATGGCTCCACATCGGTGATAAAATACATTGGCCCACAGTGAAAAGTTAAATGATTGTAGATCCTATGTAGTATTTTATTTCTGGTAGAGTTTTATCATTGGTTCCATAGCATGCGGAACAGCTATTGCATTCAATTAATCCTTTCTAAGCAAAAAGATGATGTCTCAATCTCCAACCAGTGGAGGAGGTTAATGATTGAAGTTGCTGAATTAAACGATTTATTACTATTTTTAGGTAAATAAGGTAATTAAATAATAAGTATTTAAAAACATAGTAACCTACCCAGCTTTAGTCATCAAGGACCTCTGCATCTCCTTAAAACTTATTTAGGGAGACAAAGCAATAAGCTTTTCAAACAGAAAAAAAAATCAATTACTCCAGCTGTCATCAAATGACCACTTACCCCAGGGGTGTCAATTGGACTGGATTTGGTCCAATCTGATCTAGTCCAATGTGAGTCCATTATAAATGGACCAGGTCCAATCCAATCAAATGAATGTTTTGGATCAATTTAGACTGGTCCAATTCAATGTTTGGACCATCCAATCTATTCAAATTTATTTTGATTTAGATTGGTTTTAACCCAAACTCGGTCCATTAACATATATATTCTTATCTTAAATCAATGGACCAAATATTGGCTTAATCCAATCCAATATAAATTTGTTAAGGATGAATCAGGTCTAATCCAATCTAATAAATATTTTGGACCGGATTGGTCCAATCCAATATATCTTGTTGGTCCATCCAATCTGTCCAAATTGATTTTGGACTGGACGGGGTTCAATCCAAAACCGATCCATTGACATCCTTACTTATCCGGGCTGGGCTGAATTAAAATTTATAAACTCACACTGATCTGATTTTCCTCTGGGCATAAGTCTAAATCCATCCAAGGCAAGCCCGGCCCATGATGATTTCTACCTTGGCCCAGGCCCTATCCATCGCTAGGCTGGGTTGGTCAGGATGCTGGACAAATCATTATATAAAATATACTACATCAGATCCATATATGTGGATCTTTGGTAGGCAATTTCTAAAAGAATCCAGGTCATGCAAATGATGTACCAAATCAATATCATCCAAAATATGCATCAAAACTCCAATTAATCTACTGTACCAAATAATATATAAAAACATCCAAAGATCTAGACCATCAAAATGGTTTCTTAATATCAATAAAATAATCTCAGCCATCAAATAGATGTATTGAGATTTCAATTAATGTGGGCTAATCCATTATGTGCCAAATTGATTAAAGAAAATCAGGCTATCAAAATTGTCTCCTGTTAGAAAAGAATTAACTTGACAATTTGACATTAATTAAAGTAATGTATTGAACGTGCCAACTGGCTAGTTGGTAAAGTCTCCGGTAGAAACTTTGGGATGGTATCCCTCTTGCACCAGGGTTGGAGGGGGTTATGGATTTGGGGGATGGACTATCCCATGGAGCCCGGAAAAAAAGAGTAATATATTGAAGCGATGTTCTAAATTTGGGGGATCAACTAATCCTGGCCATTCAAGCGATGTTCTAAATTTGTGGTGGGGGTGGGGGGAAGGACGAGCATATAAATATGAAACCAAATGAGATGTGGACCATCAAATTGACCTCCTAAGATTGGTCAACTAATCTAAGACATCCAATTGGTGTAAGCCAGGAGCTAACTTTGTATTCTTCTATTTTTCTAATGGTCTGCTAATAAATTGGGTAAATTGTAGGGACTAAACTTTTATATGTATCATTTTAATTTTAGTACTTTAACTTCTAGAAATATATATACACTTAAATTAACATTATAGTGAAGGGTAAAATTACAAAAATTCTCATTTTTCTTTATTGTTAATTTTTTATACCTTTGAACTTAGGATGCAAACTAACTGTGGCAAAGTAAGCGTCCAAAAGTGAGACTACCCCCAATGAAGACATCGAGGGGAGCTTAATTTGCTGTTGCTGGTATACATCCAAAGTCTAAAAGTACAAGAAGATTAATAGTAAAAATAGAGAATTAGAATATGGGCATTTTATAATTTTACCCCTCACTGACCGTAACACTATTTTAACGGAATTAAACTTAAGGCCACATTTGTTTGAGGCGGAAAATCGAATCGAGGTAAGTTTTATACCTCAGTTCGATTTTACAAGTGTTTAGAAAGAGTTTAATTTTATTTTGTAAATTAGTGTAAAACTCCACTTTTAATTCTTTTTACATCGATAATCGATGTAAAATATGCATCGAAATTATTAATGTAAAACTCATTGACTTCTATCATCGAAGTGAAACTCCTCTCACCCTCATGTCTCTCTCCTCCGTTTCATCTGTTGTTTTTCTCTCTCGCCATTGCCATTGCTTCTTCATCGAACATCCAATATGAGATATTCTCTGTTTCACCCTCTCTCTCTCTCTCACACACATACACAGAGATCTCTCATTCTCTGTTCTCTTTCTTGCAGATTCGAAGGTCTGCTCATACAAAAGACGTTGTGCACTATCATCCTTGTCTAGCGACAAACAAAGTATAAACACTATTCCAGCCAAATGAAGCCAGATTTTTATGCTTGTCACCGAATCTGATGATTGCCAATCCGTCTCAGATCTATTGACAAATCATCTAAACAGAGGTTCAGCATACAGATCTAGGGAAATTTTATCAATCTTATAATGTTTGGAATGTAATGCTCAATGTGACTTGGGCATCACTCCGCCTCTCCATTGTCTGAGAGATTTAAATGTTTTGTTCATTCTCCCTTTTGAGCATTACATTTCCAAAACAAGTTTTCCATCTAATTTACACTTTAGACAATCAAACGTGATCGGTATAAATTTATAAAACCAATCAGTCCTAATTTCCATTAATCATTAAACCAGTTAACATTTTCCATCATCTAAATTTTGAATTTATATATTTCTAGAAACTTAGGTATTAACACGGCACATTAGGCCCTAAAGTAAGACTATTGACTATAAAGTATAAAATCGTTATATATGATTTACCTTAATAAATTTTCATTTATTAATGGAGTTCAACTTAGATGCATTCACTAATATTGATTGCACGTTAAATGCATCACAACCAATGAAATTAAAATTTACCTACTTTTCATTCGTTTAATTTTCACAAAAGATCACATTATGATGTATTTACCATTACGTTCAAGATATCGCATCATATATTTCGCCTTTTTTTGGTAGACATCATGGAGTTAGAACATTTATGTTTAGGGGGTTAAGCAGTATATATACAAAGTACAAGGGAGTTCTATATCATTTACCTTAATATTTTATTTTTTCTATTTTTTTTTATTACCACGTGCGACGAGTGCATCGACGTCCTGTCACCCTATAACTCTGTTGCAGTTTCCACCATGTCTCTGTTTTTCTTTCTTTCGAGGGTGGGTGCGGCTCTTTGGTTTACAAGGAAGCAATCTTTCTCTGTTCAACCTCCTGCGTCGATCATTCGATCGATCTTTCGTTTCTTGATATTTCAGTGTTCGAGTATGCTCGGAATTTCCAGAGATAACTCCTACGCTTCAGTTAGTCCCACGCAGTTCTATTTTGTTTGGGAACATTCTTAATATAGATCGTATTTGTGCTTCTTTGATCTGCGTAAGCTTGTTTTAAATTTGATGGATTCTTTTGGTTGAATGGGATTGGGTTTAATTTTATTCCCTATCTCCTTGTGTTTCATTGAATGTTGCGTTAAATGTATCTTTAAACGAATTAATTTAGAACAGCAACTTTGGATTTATTGAAAATGCTGATGCGGTTCGATTAACTTATCGGTGACACATGATCTTTCGAAGAAAATTAGTTACTTTGTTTGTTTTTGTTCTGTTTTCCTGTTGTTTATGTGAAAGCTACACAGAGTTTTCACCTTTTCATATGGAATTAACTGGTGCTAGGTATGTTTGCCCTTCTTGTCTTTTTTTATTTTTTTCCCTTTACTCTTAGGTTGTTTCAGCCTTAAATGGATGAAAATTTTTCCACGCTGAAATATTTGAGCTACATTTTCATCCGTTTCACAATGAAAAGGTTATTTTCCTTGCCATTTACATTAAAAGTTAGGAGTTAAGAAAAATTCCGCTATAAGAGGGTGGAAATAATAGCTGAGATATTTTATCCTGCAAAGTTTTTACATTCACCATACTTGTTGATTCCCAAGGTTTATCTTGTCAAAAGGGCCTCGATTAAATGCCTTCAAATTCAATCGAATATCCAGGTGCATTGATCACATTGAACATGATACCTTGAAATGCAATTGAGGAACCCCAACAATGATGATGCAAGAAGATCCTTTCAACTATGTCTTTACCCTTATAATGCAAATGTGCATGTGCATAAACAATAGTATGATAACGCTTTTCAGGATTGACATGCAGGCGAGCATGGTGAAATGCCAGTTAGTTGTGGGGTTTAACCAACTTTTTGATCTCTATCTTATAAAAGCAAGATATTTACTGATATCCATTAAAAGAAAGGTTTCAAACTTCTAACTCTACAAATTTAATATATTTGAAATGGAAGGAATTCATGCATTATATACAATAGTTATAAGCATGAGAAGTGATTGTTGCTTATATACAGTCATTATCTCATCCTATTGAAGTACATTTTACATGTTTCACCACCAACTCCATAGAGTGGAAGCTAGTACAATCTTTTCTTTCAGCGGTTTTTGAATGGAATTCAGGCTTATTAAAATTTTACTACTTGGATGGCATTCCTTGTGTATGATATCTTTTTTAGAGTAACTGATCATGTTTTGCCTTTACCTTTTATGAACACCCTTGGGTACAAACAAAAGAGATGCAGCTGTATGTTGATAACAAAGTTGCTGTTGCAATGAAGAAAAGATGTCAAATTATTTGCAGCAATATTGATCGAATATAGGTTATTTCACAGTCCCAAATAATTAGAGTAGTTGGTTCAAGAAAGAAAGAAAGAGAAAGAGAACTAAAGTGTTGTTTGACATTTCAGCTGTCAAATTTAATCAAATATGTGCAAATTTTTCTTAGGAACTGATCATAGTTTCTCCTGACCTTTTATTGACATACTTGGATACGAAAAAGAGGGATGCACTTCTATGTTGGTGGAGAAGGTTGCTCCTGTAGTGTGGCCAAGATGCCAAAACCTTTATAGCCATGTAGATCAGATATACAGATCTGATTGATCCCAAAGAATAGGAAGAAAGAGAAACAGAACGAGAGTATCCCTTGGTCCTTGGAATTCTCTTGGAAGATGCCCAGCTACATATAGGTTGATAAGAAGAGGGTTGCTCCTGTCTAGCACTCTTTGCTCTTTATGTATTGAAGTCCTGGATTCCTAAAACCACCTCTTCACCCATTGCAAATAACCAGTTGTAGGTAATGGCAACATCCTGTTTTGGCATACATTTCTGCTTTCCGGAATCAGTATTACAGCTTCTGCAAGGTTGGGCAACTAAAGGTCTGAACAGGAGGGGTAAACTATTATGGAATACTTACCCAGATTTCATCATCTGGTTAATTTGGAAGGAAATAAATCATCGTATTTTTTTACAACAAATACTTTAATGTGGAGGAAATTAAAAGTAATCTTATAGGCTTGCTTTGTTTTTTGTCGGGTTTCAGGGAGTCCAACTGAGTTCCTTTTCGCAGGTTGGACCTTTTTTTGGATGAGTGTTTTTTTTTGAATATTCATAATGTATAGGTTCATGGGCTGATTTTTTTTGGTCAGCATCGTGCATGGGCTATTGAACTTTATTTTCCTTAACATCATCAATATAATACTTTACCTTCTTATTAAATACATTCAATCAAATCCCAACCCAAATAATTTTATAATGTTGTTGGTTGTTCAATACTAGATATGGTTAGTTGTTGGTCGGCATTGTGCATGTGCTTTAAGCTTCAAGTCTTTAATGTGGATTTCAAAGCTAGATATGGTTAGTGGTTGATGAGTGTGAATTTCACAAATCCTTCCTTATTTTAGTTTTTTTTTTTTTGAGATATTCCCTGAAGATAAACTGTAGATTTTATGTTACATCTTATCATTAATAAGATAGTAGGAGATTGTGGGATCTCTTATGTGAAATCTTTATCTGATTCATGGCTCAAATAGATGCTAGACTTTTGTTTGGTCACTGACTATGTTTTATCCCTGAGTTATTGAACACAATCTCATTCCTTTTCCATTCATGACTGCATGTAGAAGCTCCTTGATGGTTTTAATGATTCATCTACTTCTTAAGAGATGTTATAAATTTACTGTGAAAAAGAAATACTTCATACAGTGGCTGATGCCGTAAGCATGTGCCAATTCATTGGATCTCCTTCCTATTACATTTAGCAATGTTACAAAACAGGGGCCTTTTAAAAGGTTTGTGTTTTCTTATTGATACATGAAGACGATTTAAGTTTGTTTAGCTACTCACTGCTTTTCTTTATTGGTGTCAGGACAGCATTTGGTCTGTTTAAATTTGAAATGTTCTAAGTTTGGTATAAATATGTTCTTGTTGGTTCTTCAGTGTAGCAACTAGTGTGTCTTATGGGCTTGAAAATATCGTGGAAAGGATGGAAAACTTTAATTTAATAGGTTATAGTTAGCTTTGCCTTTAGCTTGTTGGTAAAGCTACACTATGGTCTGTATTTTTATAATTATATTCTTCTTTTAGTATTGTTTCTTTGCTATTCATGGGCCTTGCAAATTTGTATCTTCATATTTCTGGGCATTAAACAAGTAGATATTTCTGAGCTTGCAGTTTGACCATTCCCCCCTCTTTTTTCTTCTTTATGTAAGATACAAATTAGCATTTTCGGAAGAATTGCACTTCTTTATGTATTTTTGTCATTAAGCTACACTTTTGCTTGCATGTTCTGTTTTTTTTTATTGGCTTTACTAATCTTAGTTTTTATCTTATCTAATGGAAACATCATGTAGTGATGAAGTTGATGTGTTTTATGGGCATGATCAGATTAGGAACTGAGCTATAATACTTCAGTTTTAAGGAGAACAATGTCTTCCCCGAGTAAGAGGAGAGATATGGATGTCATGAAGCTGTAAGTTTCAAAACTCGTTTTGATACTCCTCTTTGAGTAACCTATTGCATCATATTTCTTACTTGTTCTGCTTCTTTCTGTTTACATTTAGCTGACAAGATACTTGACTTACAGCTGAAAATGAGGTTCAGTTGGAGTTGTGGCTAATATTCCTTTTTTGTTTCTCTAGTTGGTGCTTCTGATGTTTGGTTTGATTTTATTCAGGATGATGAGTGACTATATTGTGGAGCCAATCAATGATGGAATTAATGAATTCAATGTGGAATTCCATGGTCCAAAAGAAAGTAAGCTGGTTCTTCCCTGTATCTTACTACTGCTATAAAATGTAAACTTGCCTATGAAAAGAAAGAAGAAACTTTGTAGGTTATTAAGATGGATATGTTCTCTGTAGTTACTGATATTCTACTTCCAATCAGGTCAAATGACCAAGTCCTTAGTTGGGGAAGATTCACTAGGTAATGTAGCTTAATAATTTTTTCATCGGTGGCTTAAAATTCATCCTTTCTTCTCGAAATCCAGTTCATACAAGGTAAATAATATCTTCAGTTGTGCATCAACTATGTGGGCAACTTGTTTAAATAGGACAAAGGACACTAAATGTGATCTCTATTGGATCTTGGTAGAGGTGCAAATAAGGTTGTGAATTTGATGTCTGGTATGGGGTGGACTACCATAAAAAGTACGAAGATTTTGAACAAAACCTACTGAAATGAGGGTCTACAAGCTAAGGTTTTGGGTTCATAAGTTGCAAATGGCTTTAGGGAAGATAATGGATGACGGGTTGGAGGTTCAAAGGATGGGTTTAAGAGAAGAAAATGGGGTAAAATTTCCTGGTTATGGAGAAACCTCCATGGAAAGAAAGTGAGAAATGTCAAAAACTAGAAAAACAAAAGGAACTTTTCGAAACAGATTGAAAATAGTTTTTAGGATGAAATTTAAAGGGAGCATTTGGGTCATGTGGGGATTTCACCACCATAAATTAATATTTATGGATGCTATGATTTCTTGAAGAGATTTATCTCCAAGGAAAAAACAAGAAACCAAGATTTTGTATGGGTGGGAATTGGGATTTAAAGTAGAGTTCATTATTCATCCTTGAATAAATTGATTGTTCTTGTTGATGGCTCGTCAAGTCTGAAATAAAATCCAAAGAGATCAAGAGAAAGGAGATAAAACCCTGAAATTTCTCTAGGGCTTTTCTAAGAACTAGTAAGTGTGCATGTGCTTTGCACGTGGCAATTTTTTATGATGATGCTGATAGTAAATAATATGGTTCCAGAATTTTCTACAGTTTTTTTTTTTCTTTTTATATTTCTATCTCTATAAAATCTATTCTTATTTGTCACACTTATTTTTTGTTTAATATGATGAAGATATGATATTAGAGGTGTACCCAAATGTTTTCTATGAAGATTTTTGTATTTTTTATACTTTTGTGTATTTTCATCTTTTTTAATTTGTATTATTATTTAACAATGACATCAAGGGTTAACACATTCTGACCCAAAAGGTTGAATTGTTGACTTGCCACCAAACAGGAAAACAACTCCACTTTGGGGTTGATTTTAAGCATGTATTTTATTTCTATCATCAATAAAAGCAATTATTCTTTGTCACACTTATTTTTCTTTAATATTAATATAGGATTCAATTAAAGAATGGGAGTTATTACCCTAAATATAAGACTTAATGAGAGGTAATTGAATGAGGAGTAATGTAGTAGTTAAAATTACATTTTGTGCCCTCACAGTTAGAGAGGGATCAAATTCAAAAATAGGGATATTCCAGTCAAGAATAGGGATTCAATGAATGTTAATGGGAGTTAATACCTTAAATTTAAGACCTAATGAGAGAGATTTGAATGAGGAGAAAAGTGGTTGCTCAAATTACATTTATGTCCTTATAATTGGAGAGGGACTAGATTAAAAAATTGGGGTATTTTAGTCAAACAAAAGTTCCACACTCTCATTCACACTTTTAATAGTGAACAGGAGACCAGAATACTGTTTACCATAATTATGAAAACACCCCCAAGACCCAAAAGTAAGTAGAAAACATTAAAAACTCCCTATCCACATGAAATTTAATTAAAATATCATAAGACAAACAACTTCTAGTAACTAGATCCTAATACCAAGAAAAATGACAAAAAATGTCCTCGCTGCCCATAAATTAAAGAAAATAAAATCTGACATATTGACACTTAAGACTCATGCTTTAGCTTTCTAAAGATGTATAAATAGACTGATTATTCAGAATCCTAGCTTTGTCCTTGAAATACAAAAGCATTGTTCATGTTATATTTGTTGAGGGTGTTCACTTGTTCTAGCTGAATTTATGAAGTAGCATAACTACTTGGGATACAGATTTTATTTCCTTTTTGTTGTAGTTCTCATTATGAGAACAATTAATGACTTATCTTAAAAATGCACTACATCTTAAAATTTATTTTATTATTTTGGTTTCACTCGAAACTCATATTTTTGAAGGATACTTGGCTCTGTTTTTTATTATTTTCCAATCTGGAAATTTAATTATTTGGTTCCACCTGATCTCGTGTTGCTTTCAGGCCTTTATGAAGGCGGAGTGTGGAAAGTTCATGTTGAGTTGCCTGATGCTTATCCTTACAAGTCTCCTTCCATTGGATTTCTGAACAAAATCTTTCACCCAAATGTTGATGAGCTGTAAGCAAAGTTACCGAAATTAACACTCCCAGTTATTATCCTATTACAGAAATAAATTTATGGAACTAAATATTTAGATCAATATTAATCTTTAAGACTAAAATTGTAACCTATAAACTCTGTAGCTTTAGTATTCAGTAAGTATCTTTAGGGTGCAATATGGGCTAGGTTAACCCAAACACAACCTGAAAAATTCAAGTTGGGTTGAAGGTTGTGTTAATATGAATCCAACTTAACTTCAGGTTGGGTTAGGGTTGAGGCCTCAGCCAACCTGATGTAAGCTGAATCCAACATGCCTGTTCATATTTGCATATATGCATTCAGGCATCCATGCATGTATGTTTATTAATGTATGTGTGTGTATGTGCACATGTGTATGTATGTATCTATGTTGCACAGACACTTCCAAGTTTAAAGGCTAAGGTTTTTTAGTTATGACATTAGTACTCCTAACCCAACCTGATCCCAACCCAATCCGGTTAGGGTTAGGGATGGGAGTTAAAGAAATTGGGTTGAGCTAGGGTTGAGCTCATCCTGACCTGACCCAGCCCAACTTGCATCCCTAGTATCCTGTATAGCAAGAAGCATCTAATGTGCTTCACTTGTACTTTTTTTCCTTTACCAAATATTTCAAGTTAAGCAAATATTCTATTCCTCTTAAATGCCACCACCACCAGCACCACCAATGTGATCAATGTGTTATATCTCATGCTGACCATCTACTATCTTATCATGAAATGCAGGTCTGGTTCTGTATGCTTGGATGTTATAAACCAATCATGGAGTCCAATGTTTGGTAAAAAAAATTACTTATGTACTTGTTTATTGCAAATCCATTTTAAGTCATTCTAGGTCTTTTGATTAAGGTTCTTATCCTGGCTGCTATCGCTGCAGATTTGTTGAATGTCTTTGAGGTCTTTCTTCCACAACTCTTGCGTTACCCAAATCCTTCAGATCCTTTAAATGGTGATGCAGCTTCTTTGATGCTGAAGGATCAGCAACAATATGAACAAAAAGTGAAAGGTGAAAACTTAGCTACTTTTCCTTTTTCTCTTCCCATCTCATCATTTGGATCAACTAGGACTTAATAAAGAAAAAGGCGGTTTTTCTTTTGCTCATCCTTGAGGAAATGCCTTTACTTTTATCCATAATTAAAGAACTAGTTCTCAGTTCTCAACTTCTCATTAAGAAAACACATCTGGTTAATTCATGGTAACAGAGTACTGCGAGCTATATGCTAAAAGGGAGAATATTACCAACGTTCCCACTGAAGAAAGTAGTGATGATGAGGACACAAGTGATGGGCAAAGCACAACTAGTGACGATGATGTTGCGGGGCATGCAGATCCATGAGGTTGATCCCCTTTCATTTCCTGTTTGTCACCAACCTTTATTTGTATAACTATATATCCAGTTGTTCATAAACCTTATTAGGCAGTTAGGGATGGTTAGCAAATTAACATGTCTAGTGAATCCAACCGTATGTAGGTGCAAGGGATCAAGGGTGAAAAAAAAAAAAGGAAAACAAACAATGATAGTAAAAGTTAAATGAAAATAGCTAAAATCTAGTTTTTTTTTTTTTTTTTTCCAATGGAAAATTTCATTATACCATGTCACTGGACATTTTGGTACGATTGTTTCATGTCCTGTTGTTAAAAAAGCCAGTGCACAGAGAATTGGAAGAAGTGGTTCTAGGGTGGGTTGCTAAACTTGTAAGCTTTTGGGTTGTTTGGTTAATTCACAATAGAGAGCTGAGGGTAAAAAAAAAAAGTGAACCATTGGTAGAGTTTTCTTTCTATTTCGTTTTTACTCAATGATGATAATCCAATTCCCTTGCAAAAGTCTATACCATACTAAAAAAATGAGAATGTTGCAATTGACATCTTAATGCTGCAAAAGACCCTGATTTGACTTTCCAACTTTGCCCTCAACTTTCTATTTTTTCCCATTGTATGTTGTCATTTAATTCCATTAGTAAGTTGACTTCAACGTGTGATGCATATTGACATCTTAATATTTACTTAAAATTAACTTCATTTTCTTGTTGAGATTGAACATTATAGAATATCTTATTCTTTCTCACTAAAAGATGGTGGGTTTGATGAATTTAACGAGTTTCATCTTGTAAAATGATCTGGATGCGTATCAGAATTCCATTTCTTTGATTTCTTGGCTTTAGAAGTTGCTGAGAAATATGGTTGCTGTAGCAAATTCCCCATTTCCTTTTTTAGTTAGTTTTCGATACTATTTTTGATCTGCTAAGTTTTTTGTTTCCAAGCAGAAACATATTGGATTCATAGTTTAGGGTGATAGGAAGATTATTTGTGCTTTCTTGGCCCCTCCAAGAAGCTAGAGTGATGGCCTTTGCAATTAAGTACATTGTTGGTTCGGGAATTCTCCGTTCTCTCTGGAAGTTTTCATAGTTAGTTTTTTTTGTTGTTTATTTTTTTTTTGAATTTTGATTGTTTATACTTGCATTGTTCTCTTTCTCTATGCCATTCCAAACCCAATTTGATATATTTTTTTTGTGGGTGATGTACTGAAATGTGTTTTAGTTGAAATTTATGTGGAGAATCTTGTAACAAGACTTTTTATGTTAATTATCTTGTTAGGATTCATCTAAGCAAAAGAACATGTCTGCAGTTAGAGTCTTAGAGAGATTGAAGAGTCGAATGTCCTCTTGAGTGTAGAGATGTTACAAGGTTTTCCTTATTTATTTATTTATTTTTTGGGGGGGGGGGGTGTGGAGGTGTTGGAAGGCGTAAGGTTCAAGGTGAATTAGACTTTTCTGTTGAAGAGTATTTATGTTTTTACATGTTGAATCCTGGCCCTATTTTGCTAAGCCAATATCAGGCTATTCGTTAAATATTTTTGTTCTTTTTTCTTTTTGACTTCTTTTACTAAAAACCTTTCATTTGTCTTCTATTTCATAAAGATGGCTTTTATTAATAAAGTAAAATTAAGATAAGAGTAGAGATGTAATTGTCCTTATATGTTATTATAAATTTAAATTTTTGTTAATTTTCAGAACTTTTATACATGATTACCCTTCTAGGATATATTTCCTTTTTAATGAATTCTTTCTTCAATCAACAGTTACTCAGCTTGAATATTGACATAGTTTTGAGGTTTTGATGGTATGGCTAGTGAGATGATTTGCCACTCAGCTTGATCAATTCAGTATGGGTAAGTTGTTACAGAGAGTTCAATTAAAGTTTTTCAACGTTGTCAAACATTTTTTTTTTTATTTCAACGTTGTCAAAATTATAGCCTTATAGGGTTTGTTTTTTTGGATTGTAGTAAGGTTCAAAATATCCATATGTCGGGCGAATCGATACACATTTTGGAGTTTTTTTTTTTTTTTTTTTTTTGCAACCAGTTCATGGGGCCGGTTTAGGTCTCCTCTACCCCCTGAACCGGTCAGACCTCCGATACACCCATTGTAGGGGCGTATTGGAGGGGTCCTAGAATGATACATATCAGTCTGTATCGGCCGATATGTGTCGATACTTTGAACCTTGGATTGTAGATTGTATTATTTTGTTTGATATTTTAAATTTAATTATAAAAAAGTGGAGTAACTGTTAAATACTTGATTTTTGAAATAATTAAAAACGAATTACAATTATTTATTTATATTATTATTATTTTTTATTTTTACCCATGCATCGCACAGGCGCTTTACTAGTAAACCATAAATCTTGAAACATTGTTCCCTTGAGCGGGAGTGGTACGACTTAGAGGGTGTTTGGAACCGTGGGCGTTTATTCAATAAATGCTTTACACTGCCACATAGGCACCACTTCAGCAGTTCCCTTCATGCTCTTTTGTACGCATCGAGAATAGAAAAAATGTGACTTTGGTTTCTGTGCATGGCTACTGTTTGGGGAAGTTATTTTTTAAAGCTTCCTCAAACGGTTATGCGTTTTTCAGTGTTATGCTGATGTGGTGGTGCCTAATTGTCATAAACGGTTGTAATTACCTTTCTCCGTTTTGCAAGTAAATAAAGTACAAACATTGAATGAAAAAATGTAAACGGAATCAAACACGTAAGAGTCCATGTCCTCTGGTCTGGATGAGTGACCACTGACCAGGGTTATTACTTTGGTTTCTATCTCACAACAGGAAACATGGACCTACCCTACCAAGTGAACACGCCAGTGTTCAGTACAGGTGGGGCCTACAGTAAACACTGGCATGTTCACTCATGATAGTTAATCCACCCAGCCCGGTGTGCATGACTTTGCCTCAGCTCATCTGGTTCCCTATTAGAAACTGATGAACTAACAAAATTGTCATTGGAATCGATCGAATCTAGATATCCTGCCCACAAGAACTCTGTTTACGTCTACCCACATAATATCGCAGTCACACATAGGGAACATCTCATCCTCTACATAGTATTATGCACGAAAAGATAATCCCAATGCACTGAGGTAATATGTTGTGGGTAGACATGGGCAGAGTTCTTATGGGCAGGAGATCTGGAATCAAACTGATCCTATCTCACACTATCCTTTATAATAAACTACTATAGGTTTATAGGACCATAGTACATCATCTTTCTTTAATAATGCCAAAACCAATTCTCTGCAATCAGATTTTAGCAGAAAGCTTTTTTTTTTTAACTTGAATTTCTTGCAAAAATATGCTTCTTCACGTATTGCCATGACTTCTGGTTTCTGACATAACGGGAGTTCTATCGTAATTTCCTTGCACCAAAAGATTAGTTGCCAGTAGATCTAAACCACCATCTATGTATGCTGATAACTCCGGTGGTTTCCGAAAAAGCCTTAATGGGTTTGTTTGCCAATATCGATTGTTTACAATCATAATGTTATTGAATCTGTTTCCTTCATTGAATTAAGAAAGAAGAATTTCCCAATTCCCAGTGGCGGTTTTATACGATCAACTATACAAGGGTGGGTTATCTCAATACTGAAGCCAAGTTGATACAAGTTAACAGAAACAGCACTGTGATCATTTGGCCTGTGGAAAGTGGTCTGACCGCTGGAGCCTCTTCTCCCTCATTTTTCCTTGTTGAGAGGAATTTTGTTTTGTCTATGCTATAAAATCTCAAAAACCAAAATAATATTCTTGAATCATGAATCACTACAAGTCTATAACCTGCTCCAATATTCAATAGCATCATCTATAAACAGAGCATTGAGGGATTCTAGAAACAAACTTGGACCTGTGCAGGTGGTATGAGTACTGACTTTCAATTTTCAGCTTCTAAATTTCAGCAGTGGCTTTCAAGCACATAATTTTGCGTTGATAGTGCTGCCATTCAATTAACTCTTTTCTAGTAGAAAGAAGAATAGCGTGAAAAGAGATGAATCCTACTTCCACCATGGAGGTGTAATGCTAATTCAGTGAAAATTGTCTTCTGTCAATTCTTTTACCGTGGAGGTTTTCATGAGTCTTGGTGCAATGCTATTATTCTGGAAACCATCTTTATCCATTCACATTGCAATTCTTTGTGATCTGATCCATTCCAGCTACTAGTACACATAATTTGAGGATCATGTTCTATCCCATAAAAGTTATCAAATTCTGATTAGTGGAAACTTCAGAACTGCTCACAATATCATATTTTCCTACAAGAAGTACCTGTAGTTGCTGAACAAATAACATTCAATGTTATAGCTATCACACGACAAATTACCAGAAGTTATAACATTGAATGTTATAACTAAAAGATATATTCTAGTTGCTCTTGGTTGGAAGCCATCACAGTGAAAATTCTTGTGTGTGGTCGGCAGCCGATTTTAAAATATAGTTGTCCTTGTATTATTTATTTAGAGCAGACAACCCAGAAATCACAACTCATTCTTCCATGGAAGAGAGCATAGTTCTGTAAGCCCAAAAATGCTCAGGTTCATGCATAAAGTGCAATGGCTAAAAATTGATGTTAGTAAAGCTACCTAGGAGGGAAGATCAAATTATATAAGATTATTTTATTCATAAATAATTGGTGGTACATAGTGTAGGGATGTTATCTAACAAGAGTTGTTTGCTTTATTGTAATTCTAAGAAACTGGACAGCCCCAGAAATGGTACGAAGAAACGTTATATCAGGGGGTCATACATTGTAAACATCTCCCAATGAATTTCACAGATATATATGAGAGATATTTCCTAATGTGAACAGCTGGATGAGACGTGCGCAAAGTTTTTGATTGCTCAAGATCAAACAACTAGATGTCGTCATATGTGCAGAATTTTTACTTGCAACAGATCGGATTTCACAAACAAGATTTCCTTTGATGGTTTTGTATTATCTTTCAAAAAGTTGATAGATTCTAATCGAAATGGCAATTAGTCTTGAGTTTTTTTATGGTTTTACGTGCCACTGTAGATTTTAAGCTCTCAAAAACTGTGAATTTAGTCCAAAATCACTAATGGCGTTGAATGGCATGTGAAGGGATATAAATACCCTTCTTAGTTTTGAATAAGTAAAAGAAGCATAATTTTGAAAAGGCCAAAATAGCCATATTTAAATCCTTTTTCACTACAATGGGGCACCATGTTCACTTTGCCCTAACTTTTTGGTTGAAGAACCAGAGAAGCTACATGGAAAAAAATGTTGTCGGAGAAGAGGGACTTAGACTGCCGTTGTTGTAATCCTTTTTTCAATTATTCAATCCATAACAAAGGGGGGGTTTAAACTATCATTGTTGCTGAAGGAGACAAGTAATTCTTGAAGTCACCAGAGAAAACAACTATGGTAAAATGATATCAAAAATACTAAAAAGGGTAGTTTTGGCATTTAAAAAATTAAGTCACACATGTCAAATGATGCAAATAACTAATGAACTGCTAATGATGGATGCTAAATTGG